GGGGGGGGGGAGGCCTAGACTATTTCTTTATCTCACTTGTTATTTTGAAGGGGAAAAAATCTAGTAAAGATATTTGTGAGTATCATGTGTGTCCGCTGTATAATGACCAAGTTTGAGGTCCGTAGGATTTTATTCGCAAAAATCCAATTTTTAGGTGATAAATTTTTATTCAATTTTTGCTCCAGTCTTGACCTGTATCGCGACTTAGGCGGGTCCTTGGTGGTAATCTTGTAGAGCTTGCTTCCCTCTATCTGATCTTAACCTGAGTCCGCTAGGAAAACAGAAAAAGTTCAATTTATTTAGAAATACGGTTAACTTTTGGGACAACCTAATATTAACCCAGCTTAGTCGCTACGAAAGGGAGTAGTAAATCTACTAAATGATAACAAATACTATGGAACTAGTAGGGACTTTTTAAGAATGTAATAACATCGTTATCTGGGGTACCGATTTGACACTTCCAGCGACATCATATCTCCAACTGAAAACTGGAAATTTATAGACATAAAAATCAAACCGTCTCTTCACACTGCATCATCTCGCAAATCAGTGACCTCTTTGCAGCCTCGAACTCGGACTCCACAACATTCCCGCTTTTCAAAACATCATTCTAGAAAACACACCAATATGTGAGAGAGAAAAAATGATGTACTTTCTTACCACAATCTTCTTTGTGCGTTCGTAAGCTTCTACTGGTTGTGCGCATCTATACAAAGAAAGAAAGATTATCCGACGTTCATATCTCGTATAGATATTGGCGCCGTAGGCAAGGCCATCACCGCGAATGCCTCTCCAAAGCGGACCTAAACATACGATCGCACTTTGCAGAGTATCACCGATGTGACAAAAAGTTGGCTGAATTAGTGAAAAAAGTCATAAATACCAATCGATTAGTGATTATTGCGAAGATTTGGTGAGTACGGTATAAAAAGGAGTCTCACCTTCACACTGGCTCAAGTATTGCGTGAACAACATTGTTGGAACTAATTCTTCACTCATCCAATCGCAATCCATCGTACAAGTCTGATATATAAAGGAAGATTCAGATCCACCAACACCCAACACTTTCTGTCTCCCAACGAAGTCCATGTCTACGGATTCACCCGCTTTGCCCTACAAGCAAAGAATTCCTCTAGGAAGTACAGCGTCAGTTTGCAGTGAAAGATCTACGAACCATAAATTTTTCAGCCTTTCCAAAACCAGTCTCGACAAAGTCCCACTGGTAATGATTGAAAAGTTTGTCATCGATAAGGTCGACATTGCAGAGAAAATGTGCATTGACACCACGAGAGAATAAGGCAGAGCGGACCTGAACCGGATACATCAAATTTGCATGATTTTAAGGACTGCAGACGCATAACCGAGAGAAAAGATAATTATGCAAGTTGTGCGACTTTCACTAACCTCTTCCAACTTCTTCACTACTTCTTCTGGGTGAGTTTCGCATATCTTTGCTACGTTTTCGTGGAATTTTTCTAATACGAGTTCATCGCACATATAAGCATTGGTATCTAAAGCAAGAGTCTTCTTTTTATGTAAAGGACTTCAAACAAAACCAACTCACTTTGTTGGTTGACCATAGAATTTAGAGCGGTGGTAGCTACGATACAACCATCTCTCTTCCTCTCGCTTGCATCACTTGCCAATTTTTTGGCGCATTGCCGTACTCTGAGTGGGTCAAACACTATGCCAGTGGTGAAAATCTTCGCCCATTTAGCAAGATTGGGATATCCAGTCTCTGCGTCAACCTAGAAGACTTCTATGTCACCACTTAAAAAAAAGCAGAATTTGCCCATCTGGCATTGGGTTTTCATGAAGCCTTTGAGTTAGACAAGGATTGCGATGAAATCGTATCGCAATCATGCCTGCATCTAATGAGCAGATGACAAGATTCTTCGTTCAAATTCATCCAGAACTGTTGTTTCGTGACCTAATATCACCTCCCAAAAAGTTTCGTCCTCTTCCCTCTTTCAAAATTTCGATAACAAAAATGGAAAGAATATCATGTAGTGGAAAAGGATTTCGTGTGATTTCTAAAAACAGCGTCTATAGTTGTCACTTTCAGAAAAGAAATTGTTAAAATTCACCATTTCGAAACTAATGGATCGTGCGTAACGCAGCAGAACAATCTGCGAACAAATCTCACAATTTGGTTCATGGGAGAGCTGAATCGCGAATAAAGGGAAATCAATTTGCCCCGGAAAATCATTGAGATCTAATTGTACAAAAAACAAAATGAAAGTTCAGTACAAAAAATTACTCATTGTAGAAATTTCCCCGAAAAGCGTTTGCTTGCTACTTGTTGTCTGCTCTTTTCGCAACTCGATATGGGAAACGATGTCAGATTGTAACATGAATCCGAACATGTTACAACCTGACATTGAACATGTTCACATTGTTTCGTCCAACTCTACCTATTAGGTCGTTCCATAAGTTCGTAGCGTTTTCATTTTC